GAGATGTCTCTCCCCCTGGTATTCTGTGGAAGCTTCCAGGTAGCAATCTCAGGTGATGTCCCACACCCCCCATGTGACACCTGGTACTGCCTCACACTGTCAGGGAGCTGGCTAGGGCAATCCTGGGTCAGGGAGAGTGGTAGGAGGCAATTCCAGTGGGGTCACGGGGTGGCGAATGCAACTCACTTGAGAGCTAGGGACAGGAAAAGGACCTCTGAGAAGGCATTGCGGAAACTGATATGCGGAAGCAGCCAACCAGGAAGCAGAGTTGGAAATTGGAAGGGAAGGTACAGCCAGGGAGAGGAAAGCAGACATGGTGAGGGGAGATGGGCTGGCTCGGGTTCTATCACAGAGAAGCTTGGTCCTCACGTCAAGTTTGAGTTTTATCCTTTCAGCTGCTGACAAGGGGTAATTCATTTATGTATTTTTCTGAAATCACCTACTCCATTAGAGACAGTTTGCTCCCCAACACAGGGAAAACTATGTCTTGTTCTACTGGGTGGAAATGTGTTTTCTAAAAGCAGTCAAGGTTGATGACAATAAAGTTTGTCGATGCTAGAGGCACTGGCCAGCTTGCTTCTAGGAATAAATCCTCCAAAAGTTATCAGGGTCTCGTTTGACAAACTATCGTGATTGGGCTAGGTGTAGAATTTTGCAACCGCAGTTAAGCACTATGTATATTTTAAACAGGGCGATTGCTGAGTGTGCAGGTTGGGGATAGGGAGCTGTTGGATTTCACATAGATCACATTTCTCCCTGGGACTTGGCTACTTATGGCTCGTGACAGTGTTTTGCTGCTGCGGAAGAATCAAGACCAAGTCTCCAGCCCCGTAATCCGTTGCTCAACTTCATTAAGGACAGGAAGACACTAAGTGAAAGTAAGGAGCAGAACAGCCTGGGCACCGTGTGATGGGCAGCCTTTAAGTCCTGGGCTCTGGTATATTTTTATGCCACCTCGACTGTGCATCAAGCTCTGCTTCCTGGACTCATTAGAACTGTGTGCCCAAAGGTGCCCCTCAACTCTCAGAAGCAAATAGAGAATGATATAATTCCCTCTCAGAACACCTTTCTGTCTTATCCAGAGCATGTCTTATCTCTTATGATTAGGCATTAAGCATCCTATTGTCCTGAAAATTTCATGAGATTCTCCCCCTGCTTGCTGGGATTATGTCAAAGTGACTTGTCTCCAATGCAGGTTGCGCCCAACAGTACAGCTCGTCCTTTCTCAACCCTTGTGGGGCTGGCCAACGAGGCTGAGGAACCCACAGCCTGGAGATTGGAGACGGCTGGAGAGTCTGGGACCTCGCCAAGCCCTCTCTCCACGTCTGTCTTGCTCTTGCTTCCCTGTGATAAAGATTCGGGGACCCTGAAATCAAGTGTACTTGCAAGTAGTTTATTTGGGAAATGATGCTAGAAACCCCCAGTCAGAGCAGGAAAGCAAGGAAGGGAAGGTAGTCGGATTGGGGTGTGGCAGCGGAGGGTGTTGGTGTTGATTATGCTCCTTCTGACGTGTCCCTCCCAAAGGCGAGAGAGCGGGGGTATTTACCAAGCTTCTCCTGCTGGCCTCGGGGTCCAGGGCTGCTCCTGACCCTCCGTGCAGCCAGAGGGGCCACGATGTTGCTGGCAGCTACAGCTCCACGGCTAAGTGAAGCCGTGACAGTGTCTTCTGCATCAGCGTGCCAAGACCGTGGCCCTCACGAAGGCAAGGAGAGGAGCTGCACTCGATGCAGAGTCCCCGCTTCTCAGCGGAGCGCCAGACCCAGAGGTCCACCTTGTGTAGCTCTGAGGTGCTGTTGGTGCTCTCTCTCGTCTGGTTTACGAGGACTTGCATAGTTCTTGCTTCTGAGTCTTTTGTCTTCCCGAGTTTGTCAGCCTCCTCTGTCCCCATGTGTGTGGTCATTTGGGACACGGGGCCTCTTTTCTTTCTCCCTGGCGGGGTCCCTACTAGGGCGGTGGAGCGGAGTTCTCATTATTATCACAGCTGGAGATTTTGAGCAAAATCAGGCACATGCTCTGACATGTATGGGTATGTCCTTAAGCAAAACGTGGGGGCACAATTTGAAAATTAGGATAGTCCTAGAAATCCTAAGACATGGGGTCACTGTGTGAAGGCCAGGTAGGCATCATGGAAGAAAGGTAGGTGTGGATTTGGGTTCAGAGAGTTCAGCATTTAGAAAAGTATTTTCTAGCTTGAGCATGTTCTCTAACCTCTCTGGGTCTCAGTTTTCTCTTCTGTGAAATGGGGATAATCTTATCACTGACTCAATTAGAGTTGTAGAAAGAATGCTATGAACAAATATAAGACACTGAGCACGCCAGATACAGGGTGATCCCTGGGAAGCACGTCCTCCTTATTCGCCTTTGTATAAGCAGTTGCTGATTGACTATTGTTTACGAAGTGCTTTCAGATCTGAGGTCCAGTCTAATCTATAGTAAAGGTTAAGCTCATTTTAGCTGTATTTGCAGGGACATCGACTTACAGAAGTGCCCAGGGAAGCTCTGTCAGTCCTGTACTGCCTTTTCCACCAGCACACACTGAGCACCTACTCCACGCCAGGCCTGCAGGGTCTTCTGTCTGCCTGCAGGGGGCGCGGCAGGGAACAACACCCCTACCTGGCTCTTATAGGGGCAGGACAGACCAAGGGCAGTAACGGTAACACGCAAGATGACACTTACGGAGCACTCGACCGCTGTATGCGCTTGGACATAGAAATGTACCCATCCTTAAACACTGGTGAGGTACAGCCTGTGGTTGTTTCGATTGTGCATATGAGGAGACTGAGGCATGCACAGGTTAGGGAACTTCCCCAACGTTAGAGATACTGAATGCAGAAGTGTGGATTCAGATCCTCCTGGTGTGGCACTGGTGCCTGTACCCTGCATCGCCGCCCACTGCTCCTTCTGGGTTATGCTGTGTCCCCCTGGGTCACCGACTGCCTGCTTATTTACTCCACTGCCTTGCCCTGCTCACATGCGCAGCTGAAGAATCTTATGTGTGCACGTTATCCCCCAGGGAGTTAAACAGATTGCTGGGCTCCACCTGTGGAACTCCCGCTTTTGCAGGTCTCTGGCAGTGGGGAAGCTAAGTGATCTGAGAATGCGTTTTGGTTTTTCTTTTGGCGATGGTCCTGGGAATTGAACCCAGGACCTTGTCACTAAGCTGCACCTTTAGCCCTATTTAAATTTTGAGTCAGGGTCACAGTAAGTAGTTCAGGCTAGATTTGAACTTGGGATCCTCCTGCCTCAGCCTCTCAGAGTGCTGGGTTTACAGGCATGCACCACCACGTCTGACTACAACATGCATTTCCAACCGTCTTCTAGATGACCCTGAAGCTTCAGGTCCAAAGACCACATTTTGCATTTCTGGGACCCCAAAAGGGTGAGGTTGCCCTCCCTCCTCCAGGGACCACCTGAGAGTGCCAGGAAGCCTGTGGGGTTGTCATGCCCCAGGGGGTAGCTGGTGCCTAGTGGGTAGGCCTTTGTGGTTGGCAAACCTTGGGAGAATGCTGATCACCCTGCAGGACACAGGGCAGTCCCCAGGAGCAGGATGATCTGGTCTAGTTGCCAAGTGGGGCAAGTGAGACACGAGGTTGTGGAACACAAGGGCAGAGACTGTGGTATGCACAGGAAATGTCTGAGTGTGTGTGTATGTGTGTATGTGTATGCGTGCTTGTTGAAAATGTGGCTTCTGATTAAGTGGCACTTGTGCCTGTCCAAGGGGCTGCCTTTCTAACCAGTTCTGACAGGGGAGGCTGTGGCAGCTGACCCAGGGACCCCACCTTCAGTCACCAAAGCGAGAACGCACCCCGGGTAGTAAAGGTCTTGAGTCAGGGCTCGGGCTACAAGAGGCTTTTCAGCAGTGTAACATAGGCGTGACCTGCATTTGTTCAGAACCAAAGTTCAGTAACCCTCTTTAATAATCCCCCTTCAACTCCCCCTGCTGTAAGGTTTGCCCCGAAAGCAACACCGAACAGGGGGGCTGCCATCCTCTCCCAGCAACAGTCGGGGAGGACGGATCCTCATTAGGATTGCCCTGCTTCCGTCCCAGGGCATCAAGGGGAGCCTACTGTTGCCTGCAGTTGTGGCTTCTTTCCAAAAGCTGCGAGCTCTTGGTGGGCTTTGCATGGGCTCGACTTTCAGGTCTGCGAACTTGAGATGAAAAAGCGGCTGCTGTGAAGATGGTTGCTCTCCTGGGAAAGGGCTACGGGAGAAAATGGACTCTGCGCCCGGCCCTCCAGAGACGGCGTCCCAGCCCCTGTGATAAATGGCAGCATTAACAAGGTTTGGTTGAGAGGGAACCTACAGATTTATGACTTCCTGTGTCCGCCAGCAGATGTCATCACGGCTGACAGAACAGAAGGCCTTTCAAGAGCCAGCTGGGGCGGGCTAGCAAGAGGGGAGAAAATAAAATCAAAGGCAGAAGCCAAAACTCGTGTCTGCTTGGTGGTACTAATGTCGATACTGTCATTGTAGGGACAGTGGGCAGTTGTGCAGTAAACCAAACCTTGCATAACATCTCTGGGATCCAACCTCTAAGGTTCAGGCAGACACTCTCAAACGGAAGACAAAGTTAGTGGTTTTTCTTTAAATAAAGAAACCTCTGGGTTTTGTTCCCTTACACATTCTCTGGGATAAAATGAGTACTTTGCACTGAATAAACATGTATTTTACCCCGAAACATCATTTTGATGGGTTAAATGTACTCATTTCATAAATTCACTGGCTCATTCTGAAATTCATTTGATATACATATAATTTTACCCATTTAAAAAAATTGTTTTATAGGATGTCATTGGTGTTTTATGTGCCAGAGTTTTGTGTGGTATTGAAAAATGGCATGCGTTTAGCATTTGTCAGGGACCAAAGGCCCATATTAGGAAGCACAAATTCTAACATGTACTTAACAATAATTACAGGCCACATTTCCTCCTTTTAATTTGCACTTAAAGATTTACCTTTTCTGGGCAAAGAAGACTTTAGTTTTTTTCTTTTTTTTGCAGTTGACACTCTGGACTAATGAATAGTTGACTGTATCCCATCCTTTGGATTCCGGTGGAAAGGACCCCAAAATTGCCGCCCAAAAGAACAACTCTGATCCATACATTGAGCTGTCTTTTCAGTTCTGTCCAACAAGTTATTCCCCATCCTGGACTTGGCAGAAATTAAGAGCCATGGGAGACTTCAAGGAGGACAGCTACAGTGTCCTTCTGACTCTGAGACTGTCAAAAAGAAATCATTTCAAGCAAAAACTTGACCTCGAATCTTCTGTAATTATAGCCATCATGTTGATATTTGCATTGCAGTGAATATGTGATATCAATGAATTTTTATTTTATTCTTTTTTTTTTTTTTTTTTTTTTTTCCGGGCCAGGGATTGAACCGAGAGCTTTGCACACACTAGGCAAATGCTTTACCACTAAGCCACATCTTCAGCCTCTCACTGAGATTTCCAAACTAATACTGTGGGTGCAAATATGGTCACCTCCACAGCACCCTCTGCAGACCCCTCTGGGGTGTCAGGTGGTGACTCACCGCTAACCCGAGCTGCGGGTGCTTGCTGTCCTTCTCAAGGTCTGCGTTGTTGTGGACTACTTACTGAAGTTCTTCCAGCACGTTTCCTCAGCTGTGAAAGGGGGGGATGAGTGCACTTTTCACTTAGAGTTTTTGTCTAATGAGCATCGAATGCAATGTTTGTGAAGTGATTAGCCGCTTGGCACAGGGGTGGAGCTCGATAAATTAGCTATTGTTATAATGATTAATGTTAAAATATCTTCCCTCTTTATTGTTCCACAGGTAGGCATGCCAACTCCTGAGCTGATTCGTGGGTCACCTAGAAAAGAAATCCAATAATAATAACAACATTAATTGCAGCCGTCACATATTGAACACAGACGAAGTGCCCAGGGCTATACTAAATGCCTGACATGCAAGAGCTATCGAGTGTAATCCACACAACAACCGTGTGGAGCAAGGTATTGTTACTTGCATGTGTTATACAAAGGAGCTCAGGTTGGAGGGTTTGGCAGTGGTTTTCAAACTGCAGTGCACAGGGCGCTGGGTTCCTTCCAGAATTTCTGGGTCTGGGCTGGGGCCTCAAGATTTCCATTTTAAAAAGTTCCCAGGTTACTGCCGTTACTGCTGCCCTAGAGACCACACTGGAGAAACACTGATTCCAGTCACTTGTTCAAGCTGACACAACAAGTAAGCGAGAGGAGGATTTTTTCAAAATTAAAACTTTGACTTAGAAATGTACTCTTCAAATATCTGTATTTCTTTGAATTTTCTGAAGTCAAACCTTTGAATTATGAGCTCGTTGTTGCACTCACAAAGCACAGTAGCTCAGATAGCTGCTTGTTTGCATGAAATGTCCTGTTCCATGAGGTTTTTTATGGCACAAAACAGTTGGTGATACCTTAAAAGGGGAGGATTTCAGGGACATTTGTGGAAGGATCATCAAGTCCTTAAATCACCCCTACCTGGCCATGCCTGAGATCAGCAGCCCTGCAGAAGTAAAGAATTTGCAAGAGCTATGACCCAGGTCCAGCTGGAAGATTCATTAGAAGTTGCAAGATGGAGCCCAGCTGGGCAAGCCGCACCTGGCTACCATGTGTGCCTGAGAGGCATGGTATTTCCAAGGAGAGCTCTCAATGCACAGCCCACTTGGGCATCAGAAGGCTCTGGATCCCTTGAATGTTGCTCAAGCGAGGCACTTGCAACTAGCCAGCCACTGCAGCAAGGGAACCACTGCAGCAAGCTGCCATTGGTATAAAAAGTGGGATGTATTTTGGTTCCTACTGCACACTTTGGGACTGAAGGGGTGGAACTTCCCAGAAGCATGTGGTGAAAAATATGAAAGGAGACACAGGACATAGGGAGAGAGCGAGGAGAAAAGCTGAAAATCCCCGTGTGAATACAGTAATCCCGCAGAAGGTCATTGGCTCCTTTATTGGGTTGTAAATGCAAAGAACTGGAATCTAAATATGTAGGCAAGGCACACATCAAGAAATGTAAATACTCAGGGGCTTGAGGAAAAGAGATAAATTGAGGCAAACAAGTGGTGCCGTGGACAACGGCAGAAGCTGGCTGATGAGTGACTGTCGTGGTGCAGGACGGAGGCATACAGTGTGCACTGGATTTGCTCTCCAGAGCCTAAGATCTCAGAGCTAACTCTATAGATTAAATTGGTTGATCTTTGAAGGCCATTCCTCTTCTATATACATGGATGTATTCATTTGGACATTCACTCACTCATTCACTCATTCATTCCTTCAACAGCTTTTTTTTTTTTTTACTGGGCACATGTTATGGGGCCAACTATTCATTTAGACATAGGCAGCAAAAGCTCAGACTCCATTCTCTGCTCTTCTGGAGGTTAATCATTAATGGGTGAGACAATACATGAAATAAATTGTACAGCATATTAAGATCTGAAAAGTTCCAAAGAGAAGAGTTAAAATAGAAAGAAGATACGGATTCGCAGGTGGTATGGTTGAAGGATGGCTTGTTTATTCCCAGCTACATTTATCAAGGTTGCTATGGTTTGGATCAAGCTTTTGGAAAATGATTCAGTCATGATCATTCTAACTTCATCAGTGGATTAATCCATTGATGGAGTCATAATTTGATGGAATTACCAGGAAGTGACAGAAACAGGAGGTGGGAACCAGTTGAAGATAGTGGGTGACGAGCATGTTAGGTTGGGAGTCACATTTTGTTCCCAGCCCTTTTGTCTCTGAGCCTTTCACTCTCCCTCCACTTCCTGGGCACCATGAGTTGAGCCTCTATCACACCTTTCTGCCATGATATTTCTGCCTGACCCCAGGCCCAAGAGCAACAGAGCAACTAACCATGGACTGAAACTTCTGGAACCGTGAGCCAAAATAAATCTTTGTTCTTATATGTTGATATCTTCAGGTATTTTGTCCCAGTAATAAAAAGCTAATACAACCACCAATGAATCCCCTTTGGTTACAAAGAAAGGAAAATTAAATCACATTGGTCTAAGAAAAAAAAGGAAAAATGTTGGCAGTAGACAACGCAGAAGTCCTGGCATTGATAATTTTTAATGTTACTTTTCCTTCTAGCACTCACTCCACTGATGCTTTCTGATACAGCTCAGATATCCTGGGGTATCTTTTTCTTATTTGACCTCTGTACCTCTGGGGAAGTAGGACTTCTCCCTAGTTCAGGGCTTCTGCCAATCAGGACACTTCATTCCCTTACTGATCATAGTGACTGTTTCTTGAGAAGGCAAGGGTCCAAGGAAGTGCAATGTCAGAAATTTCACCTGCTTTCTTTTGCTGAACCTGGAGGGGAAAAGTCATTGCTGGCAGCTACTTTATAACCAGGGGGAGGAGGAAGCTGCCTTAGAGTAAAGTAAAGCAGAGAGATGAAGAAAAGAAATAAGAACAAAAATAAAAACCCAGGATCTGGATGACACCATTCATCCAGTGGATAAACACTCTGGAGTAAATCTGCCAGTGTCTAGGCTTATAGTTAAATGAGTCAAAAACAATTTTCTTTATGGCTTAGCGCCATTGAGTTGGGCTTTCTGTTAGTTTAAATAGAAAGATGAAATACCTAGTTCAGGCACAGTTATGACCAGACTCTTGCTCATCATGGGCCGCTGATTTTCTCTGTGTGGGCTTCACTCAACCTGGCTTCCCCACAGTTTCCACTGGCAGCCTCATCCCTGCAGCACCTGCAAGGCCTTTGCACCCACCTGGTTGTGTTACCAGGGTCTACTTCAGCCTTTGAACCACGCACTGAGATTGGGGGGTGAAACACCACCAATCTGGGACTGATGTCCTCTCCTGGGGCCAGGGCTGAAGCCTGATTCATTTAAATCACATTGTCTGAGAGAGCTGGTTCCTCAAATTAGGGAGTTGTTCCTAGAAAGTTGGGGCGTGGATGTGGGACAGTTGGGAGGAAGCTATGCCCTAATGTCTTATGTTCCACTTGGACATCTCACATTTCTCATTGCAAAATGAAAAGTTAAGACAAAGCGACTGCTCCCAGCAGTTTTATCACCAAGGACACCTTCTCGTGCCATTCTCTGTTGGTGCTGGATTAAACTAAATTGGAAAGACTTTGTCTGTAACTTACCTAGTCACCCATCACGCATTCACCTACCGTTCAGCATGCTGCTGTGTAATAGCCATTAGCTCCCGATTTTGTTCTCCTCCATGAGGACACGGCAGCAACACATGTTGGAAGAGATGTGAGCACTCTATTCAGTGACACAGAATGGCAGAGTCTGCTGGAGGTTTCCCTTCAGGGTTAAAAAGCCATAGCTGTTGGAGAGAAACCTTTGTGCTCATAATTTCTATTCTGCTTGGAAAGCAGGTATGAGGATGGGGTGTCTGGAGTGGATGCAAAAGATCTGACATGTATGAAGAAAAATCAGCAGGTTGAGCCTAATAGAACAAAAAGAACAGTCGAATTCTGGAGTCACCATCATGTGACCTAGGCAGAATCTCTAGGCCTATGATGAACCTAGACTCATACCCATCCAGATTTTTTTGCTAGGTGAGAGAACTCAGCTCTTCATTGCTCAAGGCACAGTTACAGTATTCTGTTACATAGAGTCAAAAGCATTCCTGCTTGCTACAGTCAGATCCAGGAGAGGTCCCCAGGCAGCTTTAGTCTGAAGATGGGCAGTGAACTGATGATTACAAGTGTCACCAGGGTCCTTCTTGAACCGGAAACACTGGAGCTTATATCTGGGGACCTAATCATTGAAAGAAACTGCATGTATGCAACAAGCAATAACATTTTTCTATTATTTTAGAGAATTAAGTGAGAGGTCCACACAGTAGATATTTCCCATTGCAGCCCAACTCTGCTGGTGCAGTGCAAAAGAAGCCATAGACCATACATGAATGAATGGGTGTGGTTGTGTACCAATAAAACTTTATTTACAAAAACAGGCAGTTGGCTGGGTTGGCCAGTAGTTTGCTGACTCCCAAATTAGACAATCACAACTGAGTGTGCAATGAAAACAGCAATCAACGGGACTGTGTACCACTTATTAAAATATAGTGGACCAGTCTTAATCCCGTGGTGCTAATTTTCCAATGTCAGGTCCTTGCATGCAGGCACTTTGTGACCCCTTGATACATCTGTAGCCTGCCTTCCTGTTCTGCCACAGCTATGGATAATGGGGTGCGTCAGGTGGGCATCAATCCATAGTGAACGTAGAAACCCTAGTAGGAGGGGTTGGGAAGGTACTGATAAAGTGTGGGGCACTCTGATGAAAACACATGTCATGGCATCATGAAACAGGCAGAGACACAAAAACATCACATTGGATTACTTTTGCTAGAATTTTTGTGACCAACATACACTGCGTTTGTCACCAGCTTAAAGATGGCAACTGTGGTTAGAAGAAATGCACAAACCACGTAACGTACGCAGTGTTGTGATTTATAAGGAGCGTGATTAATACTGTGCATTTTAAACCTGTGTGCATATATGTCACAAACTGTATGGTTCACTAAACATCACAAGAGACTTCCAAAGAAACCAAGACTGAAGAAAAGTTACATTTTGCCACCTTAGTTTTGAATCATGATTCTCTTTCACCAATGGTTGTAAAATTTTAATTAGCTTTGATTTTGAAAAAAAAAAAAAAAACCTTATAAAATCAGATTCTTTCTACCCTTACTAATTATATGTTGGAAAAATGTTTGAAGGGTATTGGGTTAAAGAGTCAATAAATTATTTACCCTTGGTGACTTCTGTATATAAAAGCCCACGACTCAGTTACTGTTGGATCCAGGAAGGTATAAATAGAATGCGTTGGCTATGGGCCAAAGGAATGGTGAAGACTGAGGCAGACACTTATGCCCTGTTCAGCCTGTTGTGTCTCTCTCTGTCTCTCTCCCCAATCCCTTTGCACAAAAGCATGCAAACTCCAGTTCCCTTCTCCAGACAAGAAACACGCATTCCTTCAACTGATAGAGCCAGAGCTTCCGCACAGTGCTGAGGCCTGAACTGATCGGGTGGCTTAATCCTGCCTGGCCCTGACAAGATAACTGGTTGTAGAACATAGCACCTTTTCCCGTATCTCACACTATGGATCTATTAGTATTGCTATTTATGTGAAAAAGAAGAGAGAGTGCTAATTTATACATACATTTGTTTTGTAAAAATTCTACTCCTGTTCTCAGATTGGTTCAAATCCCCCAGAATATCACTCTTCTGTGATCTGTAATCTGGCTAGAAGGGGAAATGCTAAGGCGTTTAAGAATTTCAAATTCCTGTATTGCCACTTGTAGTGAGCTGTGTCATTGACAGAGCCATGCAGTTTTTCTCCTGCCCTAAATGTCACAAAAAGAAAAGTGATTCACAGCAGTTTACACATGCCAAACACATTTGTCGAATAAACAACACAGAGCAAACTGCAGTTGAAATACCACCCATAAAGAAACACAGTAGTTAATCTGACTTTAATTGAAATGTTGCATGTTGATACCTTTTGTTTATGCATGAGACAAAACTGATATAAAGGAGAGCAATGATGATAATCATATTCGAGACATTTTGAAGGTTGGGGCTTCTGAAGCACTTGAAGAAGAAAAGAAATACCACATGTACTCATGTTAAAGAAATGCTGCATTTGGTTTAGAAAGTGCTTCCAATATGGTAATGAATAAGGTAAAATTTCCATTTTAGTGCAGTGCTGAATTGAGCTACTGTGTGCTTCTGGGAGATATGTTTAGGCATTCGACAATTAAAAAAAAAAAAAAAACTGAAGTATTGGGTCTAAAGGGCCCGAGTTGTACTTTCTGCCTAACTTCTGTCCATCTTGCTCCTTTAGATAATACCATTTAGGGTTTGGGAAGTTTATTCTTTGTTGTGCTCAACAATGGCATTCTTGTGGTGTGGATCCATAACCTCTCAGGGACTGGCTAAGGCTGATAACCTCCCCGCCACTCTCCTCTGGCAACCAGGACTGGACTGAAGATGGGCAAAACTTAGTCAGAGCCAGGATCTGTAGAGAAGTTTGCTAGGGTTCTGGGCATAAAAAGGTTTATTTTTTTTTCTTGAGAACCACGGAAGTGGGGCGCATTTTGTCTGGAATCTGTGTGATATGAAGATGTGAAGATTTGAGTAGTGTCCTTGTTACTAAAATGAAAACCCTGCAGTTGGTGGTGGGATCTCTTGAGGCCAAAAGAGGCAAAAAATACTGTGAAAGACAGAACGTGAAAAATGAAGTAAAAGGCTCATCCTTGAGGATACTAGTTCCAGCTGGACCTGAAGCTTCTTCTGCCTTTCATCTTTTTGGGGACACAAGACTATACATTCCGTTATTTTGCAAGCAATTTGAGTTGGGTTTCTATCATTTTCAATGGTAAAATTTGTAACTCATCATTTAGCTTTGTCTAACTGAGGATTATATGTTAAATATATTAATGTCCTTTCAATGAATTATGTGAGTAAAATTGGACCATACTGAGTTTCTGCCTTATTGTTTGGTTTACTGTGTTTTTTCAGTTGGAATAAAAGGCATCATTGGTTGTATTATTACTAGTCTTCTTGTCCATACTTTATGACATAGTTCAAGTACCTACCTTCCTTATTAATTCATTACTGGAAGATAATTACAGACTGGAAGTTTAGATCCACTGAAGCTACCCCATGCGGTGTTAAGAGGTTGTGTGTTAGATTAGCTAGACATGCTCTTGAACCCTGGTTCTATAATTTACTAGCTGAGTGACTTTGGGCAGTTTTCAAAAACTCTCTTAAGTTATTGCTCCCATCATATAAAAATACTGTTAATAATAGCACCATATTTCAGATAATGCTTGAGAAGATAAATGAGATAATGCCCATACAGCTCTTATCATGGTATCTGACACAGAAAATGTTCAATAAATATTGATACTGTTCTTACTGTTATCAAACCATCAACAAACCCACTATGTAGAAATATCCCAATAAATCTAAGCTGCAATTATTCATTCAATGAGCATTGGCTATATGAATAATTTAGAAACTGATGAATTGATGATTGAATGAATATGAGTCAATTACAATATGATTCATTGGAAAAGCAGAAGCTGGAAACTCAGAGATGAGACGTCAGATTGAGGACTGGGGCTGGAGGCTGAGAAGGAGTGGGAAGGGATGGGAAGGTGTTCTGTGCTTTATGGGAATGCCCTTCCCGTGATCTGTGTCCCCGTCAGGTGGAATGTTCTGCAATGTCGCTCCCTTCACACTCTCATTACCGCAGGTCATCTGTCGGGAGCTTTTTGATGGGCAGCTTTATAGACAGCCATAAAGCAGAACTTATGGCTAAAGTCATCATAGTTTGTTGAGCTCAGTGCTTAGGGGTCCAAATCATTTTCCTTCTTTCTCTGGGTCAGATTCATTCACTGCACAAGTGCAATTTAGCATAGATGACTTAATTCTTCATATCACCTCCCTATAGCTCGTAGGTTACAATTCTGGAGACCCTTAATTAGAATAAACAGAATAATTTGGACATTTGCTGAGTAATTATCTTAGTTCTAACCTAAGGACTTGGCCGAGCCAACATAGCCAGCCATCTTGAATTAACCATTTCATCCAACCTTCACAACTTATGTGGAAGGTACGCTCATTAACTCAAATTTGCAGATGAGAAAACATACACCAAGGATGTACTACTTGTGCCATGGGGGAGTACTGGCAGGATCCAAACACAGGCTCTCTACTCCTGAGTCTTCTGCTATAAATTCCATCATGAACACTATTGTCCCTCTGCTTCCTCAAAGGACTTAAGTCCCTGAAATGAGCTCAACAAAAGTGAGTTTCCCGAAATAAAATTCTTCAAATGTGGATACACTAGGGATATTTTGAGATGATTTTAAGAGCTTATATTTATAGCTTTATCCAAAGGAGTTTGAAAATACGTCCTGCTCATGTTCCATTGATCCTTAGCAGCCAATAGGCAGATACTTGGAGCTGTAGTCCAGGAATAGTCTTGTGTGGCAGCCAGGGCACCATGCAGCATGCTTGATGACGAGCTCCTGAACTGCCAGTCTCCTTCCCACAGCCAAGTCCAGCCAGGCTGGTGCTGGCTGGGATTCTGTTTTGACATCTTTTCATGTCTAGCTACCTGAGAGCTGTGCAATTTGTAGCATCTTGGCCTCCATCTTGACAGAACGTAGTACAGAGGAAGGAGTGGGAGCTGACAACAGCCTAGTGACTAGCACCCTGCAACTTCCGCACCTCTGGGAATTATGCATTCTTTTGATGCTGAGGGAAGGCTGCAGCCCTCAGAGAGGGAGCCTTGTCAGCCATGTTTGTCTAATGTGACCTTGCCCACTTCCTCACTCGGCCTGGGAAAGAACACACGAGTTGAGTGAACCAGTCATATTCTGTCTTCCCAGAACTTGAAATGACAAACATGAAGTTTCTGTCACTGATCCTGAGTCGTACAAATCTGGAGCAGCCGTATTCCACCAAACAGAGTAAGCATAGAGGAAAGCTGGAGTAGAAATGAAAGGGGGAAGTCAGGAGGAAGAGAAAGAGCAAGAGAGAAAAAAGCCAGAGTGGATGACTTTCCAAATCCTGGTGCAGTCTCTTCATGTGGGCTGATTGTATTCCAGTCTTTTTTGTTCTCTAAGTTGGTTTCTCTTATACCTCAAAGCATGGATTAATAAGACACATAAGTTTCTTTTCTTGTTTTGAGCAGAATCAAATCCTTTCTTGAGACAAGGTTGCTAACAAACACTTGTAACACAGGTTCATTGGTCAGAAGATCAGTTGATAAACATCCTTGAAAAAAGGTATAAAATGAGAAGAGCTATTTGTTCAGTGTTTTTAACAACAAATGAGAATAAAATTTTTAATGTGTTCTTCAGATTTTCATTTCTATATCATATTTTATAATTGTTTAAATTTAAATTTTAAATAATTATTTCAGATAATTTTTAAGTGGAAGTACTCAATTTCCATGAGGAAGTACCAAACGTCAACTTTCAGAAAAGTAGGATGTTACGTCTTGGGTCTAGATGTTTCCGCCAAAGCCCCATGTGATCTTAGGCGGGGCTTTTTAGAGGTGACTGGATCTAGAGTGTGTAATGCTGGGATCAACAGTCAGTGATTATTGAGCTGGTCCACCGATTTGTGGGTATTGGGGAGGTGTTCCCTGGGTGTGAGTGCTACCCACTGCCTCAACACAATGTATGGGACAGAAAGGGAGCTGGTGTTGTTGCTTGTCACTTGCTGCTTTGCTACTTCATTGCTTACTGCCTTCTGCCTGCCATGAACTGTTTCTCCTCTGTGATGCCACTTTGCCATGCCATTCTGCCTGAAAGCCAGCCGATTACGGACTGAAACATCTATAAACTGTGAGTTACAATAAACCTTTCCTCCTTTAACTTTGGGCATTGGGTATTTTGTCTTAGTGATGAGAAAAGTAACTGAAACAGGGGTAGCAATCCATAAGGTCAGAGAAGTAGAGGTTTGGAATTACCAAAATAACTGTCCATTATTCAAGAAGATAAATGACCATTTCAATGGGAGTAAGAGATACTTCCAGGAAATGGCTCATGGTGTATAGGATAAACATCATTAATCCTAGAATGCAAACTCCAAAAAATTTAGACATCTAAATTTGGTCTAAAATTTGGTCGCTAGCATTTTGCACAACCCGAATTAGATATAGCGATGTTGCCCTTACCGCAATCTGAGGAGCTAAAATAAGCAGGAAAAATACAGAGTGGCAAAAGGGGAGAGAAACTAGTTTAATGAAAGAATATTTTATTTATTCTGTTTTACTTTTTTCTTGAATCTGAGAAAAACATGGAGTGACAAGCTTTGGGCATGGCTGGATCCAAGGGCTCCAAAGACGTCACCAGGGATCTGTCTTTTGGCACCTCTTGAATTCAGTTTTACCTATATTGGTTTCATTCCCAAGGACAGTCACTCAGTGTAGGGTTTCCAGATATAACAGGTAGAAGCAGAGGATGCCCAGACAAACTTGAATTTCAGTTCAACAGTGATTTTCTTGGTAGAAGTGTGTTCCATACAATATTTGAGACATACTTACACAAAAAATTATTCATTGTTTTAAATTCATTTCAATGGGCCTCCTGTATTTTATCTGGCCACCATATTCACAAAAGATGGCACAGCAGGCTGCCAATGCTGCCCAATTTCAACGTCTATTCACATCATGCAGGAGCCTCAGGGAGAGTGTACTTATTTTCTAAAATTCTAATCTATGTAAGGGCCTGAACTTGAACACTTCTCTCCTGACTCCTCACTGTCCTGAACCCCTGTGGTCATTCAGATAGCCACTGGATAAGTCAATTAGCACTCAGAAGAGGGATTCCCACTCTCCTCCCTGTGTACAAAATGATCAGGTAAAAAGGAAATGCTTGTCAAAACAAATCTCTGTTTGACTTTCTCCATCCACGGGACAATTTCTGTAATGTGTCAATCATCTTGTTGAAAAATAGCCCCTCCACTCCACAATCCACATTTTCAGATGACACCCGCCTGTCAGCTACTCCCTAAATCAAAGCCAAATTTCAGGCCAAGCGAAGACCAGTTTGTCAATCATTGTGCCTGCCACACATCCACCAGCTCACCTGACAGCTACAAATTCCCACTCTCAAATAGAGTGGGGCTAGTTAAGCTTATTTGTCTCCCCTAATTGAGTTCCTGTTAGGACCGGTAGCTTAGCAACTAATAAGTTCTTTTCTGTGACAACTGGCCTAAATTTCGTAGCTTTCTTGACCATTGCCACTTGTTAGAAAATTGTTTTCCCTCAAGTGGCTAAACAGCAGATGTAAGATTTATTTAATGCTGAATTGTTCTATTATTTCTATTTATAAGCACTCCTCCACTGTTTAAAAGTAAACACAGAATATGTTGTCAAACAGACATAATTTTAAATAAGTATAAAATGTCCTGGAATTTTGTCCTGAAATCTCAAGTTCTCCATTACTGGTAGCATGAAATGATGGGAAAGAAGCCTACAAGATAAATTCTCATCATTTACTAGGTTATACATTATTTCACAAGTGTATGTGGCAGTCGGTACAAGGTTCTATACCCTCTGTTCCACATTTGCTCATTCTGAAGGAACTTAAGGAGGCTTGGCAGCAAATTCTAGGGCCATTTAGTGAATAAACAATGCAAATGTGTGAGAAAAATAATAGTAATGATAATAAGAGCCTTAAAAAGCTGTTACATAGTCATGATTGGTATGGAGACTATACTGGATAATTTTGTACGTTCACTTGCCTGGACTAAGGGATGCCCAGGCAGCTGGTTAAACATTATTTCTCTCTGTGAGGTTGTTTAGCACTGGAGTTGCTGGACTGAGTAAGGATGGTGCAGGTGGCCATCCTTCAATCCATGGGATGCCTGAACAGAACAGAAAAGTGGAGAAGGGTGAATTTCTTTTCTGCATTTGAGTTAGGACAACAGTTTGTTCTGCCCTTGGGAATTGGCATTCCTGGACATTCTCATGTCTTTGGACTGGTTCTTGCACTTGTTGGATCTCCTGGTTTTCAAGCCCTGAGTTTGGCCTGGA